TATTTAGCGGCATCTACTTTAGCTGGTTCTTCAATCCGCACATTGGGTATATTGACGATGTTAATCAAGTATTTGTTTATTATTTAAAACGTAGCGTGTTATCGGTTCTAATTTTAAAATCAACGGTTTATTTGTTTAAAGCAAAATTTATACATTTAAACTAACAAAATATTGAAAGGGGGATAGGAGAAATCGTGGGCTGAGGTAAACCACTAATAAAAAGACACTAAAACGATAATATTTAGTATATTGTGAAATAAATGCTTTAAAAAATAAAAAATAAAGTATTTTCAACTCATTTTTAATTCATTATAAAAATATTTTATTTAATAAAGGATTATGTAAACACTGTTTTTCCTTTCCACAATTTATCTGTCATATTATTTATGATAATCACTTACTCAACGTTTTGTATAATTCTTAAATCTAAACAAGGAGGACTTCAATCCAATCAGCAAAGCTATTCTGAAAAAATGGTTTTTCATAATCTAAATTATTGTTTTAAACCCTAAATTTTAGATTTTTCTTCAAGTATTTTTGATTAGCTTGATTAATATTCTTACCGCTTCTATTTATCTTTTTATGCAATATATCCACGTCAATGACGTTATTATTATAATTGGTCAATTTAGTTCTCTAAATGTACACGGTGACATATTAATTTTGTAATGAATTATGTTTAAAATTTTTTGTGTGAAATTTTCAAAAGTGAGATTATAAGCTATTTCGATACGACTGAACCTGTTAAGTCGATTGGTATTGGGATTGGATGATTTTGAACAAAGTCATGATCAATTAAGCTTTGACATGAAAAATGCATTTTTACCCGTTTAGATGTTCGGATTCGTTTTTCTCCGCTATCCGCGAACAAAATGTTCGGCTGTACTTTAGCCGGTGGCCCACTCAGAAAAGGTCTAAAATATATACCATTCGATTCGTCTCGGCGAGCTGAGTCGAATGGTACCATTCTTTTTTTGCGGAAATTCCTACGAGCCAAGATATAGGTACTTAAATATCGAAAAACCATAGGGGGGACCAAGCACAATTTTGGGGTGAAAAATTCAAATATGCAATTGATAGCTCATTCGAAAGAGCTCGACGAGCTGAGTCGATTGATACCAAAATCAACGAAATCCGACTTGATTTGACAAAGTTATGACCATTTGTTTTAGCTCCTTACCTATGGCATCTGTGGAGATTTTTGCTGCTACGGAGGCCCCAAATACGTCCAGAGCAAGGGAGATAGGAATAGGGTTATGTTACAAGCCCAGACCCAGCGCCCGTAGACTCCCCGCGAGGCGCGTGCCGCAAAACCCCGCGCGAAGCGCGGGGTTTTGCACAAGCGCCTCGCCGACGCCCCATAGGTTTATGTTGCTAGTTTTTTGTGTTGTAACTTTGTCTAAACTTGTTTAATCCCGGTGATTTTGGTGTCATTCGACTCAGCTTGTCGAGCTCTTTCAAATAAGCTATAATATGGTTAAAAAATTTTTAATTCCAAAAATCACCCTTTTGGATTAACAGTTTTCAGAAGTCTATATCTCGGTCCAATCAAGTCGGATTTCGTTGATTTTGGTGTCAATCGACTCAGCTCGACGAGCTCTTTCGAATGAGCTATTATTTGCATATTCGAATTTTTCACCCCAAAAAAGTGCTTGGTCCCCCCTATGGTTTTTCGATTTTTAAGTACCTATATCTCGGCTCGTAGGAATTTCCGCAAAAAAAGAATGGTACCATTCGACTCAGCTCGCCGAGACGAATCGAATGGTATATATTTTGACCCGTTTCTGAGTGGGCCACCGGCTAAAGTATATCCAAATGTCATTATTTGGTATCATCAGGTTTAATAAAGTGTTAGGTGTAAAATAAAAAAAGAATTATCAATTTTTGATAAGAATGAAGAAAGTTATGTTAAAAACAAAAAGTTGTGCGAATTTGCCGCACCCTGTAAATTAAATGGGAAAACAGTTAAATTACAGATCTGCAAAATAAAAATTTACTTCAAAAAATGACAATAAACTTATCTAAAAATTATTTCAGGAATACCTCCTGTCATTTACTTAACAATGAACAAAACAATTCAACGTGATTGTTTTAAATTATTAAAAATGTGTGTTGACGCTACTATAAAATTTTACAAAAATCTACACTCTAATGTTATTCAACCTTCAGATAATCGTTAAATAATGTGTTAACCGAGGAATTTTGTGAAACTGACATCATTATTACTTACATCACTATGTCCGAAATAAGAATTCTGAATGTATTCTACACCGTTTCCTGATTTTCTTTTTAGTTTCCCTTGTCTAAACTTGATATAAAATATTAAAATATGTATTATTTTCTCAGAGATAAATAATGAAAAGTTTTCACAATTAAAATTTAAAAATAATCCTTAGGGACGATTAAGCTTACTTTCGGGGTCAAAAATCGAGTAATTTTTATAAAACAGTATTTTAAAATAGTTTTATTAAAAACAACACTTTTACTAAAAACTATTCATCATCAGTGCTGAATATTGGGATTTTTTGGCAGTGATGAGGGAGATCATCATCTCAGTTAATCCTTGAAACATTTACATAGTAAACTTGGCCCTATCCTAAAAAGAGGGCGCCTTGATTTTTTTCATCATTTTTTTCCAACCTTAATACATATATAAATAATGGTCAGTCTTTTCTTCCTCGTTCAATTCCTCTCTTTTTACCTTTGGCATATTCAATTGAGAGGACAGAAAAGCACATACACTACAGACAAAACACGGACAGACATACAAACTTGTTTTGTCTGTCCGTGCTCGTCCGTACTCATCCGTATTCGTCCGTGCTCGTCCGTGTTCGTCCGTGTTCGTCCGTGCTCGTCCGTGCTCGTCCGTGTTCGTCCTTGCTCGTCCGTGTTCGTCCGTGTTCGTCCTTGCTCGTCCGTGCTCGTCCGTGCTCGTCCGTGTTCGTCCTTGCTCGTCCGTGTTCGTCCGTGTTCGTCCTTGCTCGTCCGTGTTCGTCCGTGCTCGTCCGTGCTCGTCCGTGTTCGTCCTTGCTCGTCCGTGTTCGTCCGTGCTCGTCCGTGCTCGTCCGTGTTCGTCCTTGCTCGTCCGTGTTCGTCCGTGCTCGTCCGTGCTCGTCCGTGTTCGTCCTTGCTCGTCCGTGTTCGTCCAATTCAGTTTCTCTACCGTTATATGAAATAAATGCCATTGTTCAAATTTTAAATTTCCGAACATAACTATGTAAATCTCATATTTATATGAAAATCAAACTCAACTCTTGAAATCTGAATATAATTTTAAAGAATAAGTTATCCGACCCTTTATAAGATTCATATATGTAATTTACATGTAATTATTATTATAATTCTTCAGTTCTGATTAATATCATAGGAAGGTATTTAGGGGTAAAAACCATAATTTAAAATTTATTTCAGGAATACCTCCTGTTATTTACTTAACTATGAACAAGTCAATTCAACAAGATTGTTTTAAATTGCTAAAAAGTTGTGTTAATTCTACTAAGAAATTCTTTAAAAATCTACAGCAATGAAATCATAATTTATAGTTGTCAAATAAATTTATGAAGAGGATGATAAAAAAGTGAATAAGAAAAATTGAGAAGAGCCAATTTTAAGAACAAAAATTAAGAAAATTTCCTCTTAATTTACTTTTCTATTATGATTGCTTCTATTATGGGCTGTAGTGTAGTTCACCGGAGGTAAAAGTTCGGGACGAGACATATGTCATTCGATTCGTCTCGGCGAGCTGAGTCGAACGGTACCACTCCTAATTTCAGGAAATGATTCTGGACCGAGTTATAGGTCCCGAAAAATCGAAAAACCAAAGGGGGGACCAAGCACTTTTTTGGGGTGAAAAATTCGAATATGCAAATTATACCTCATTCGAAAGAACTCGTCGAGCTGAGTCAAATGACACCAAAATCAACAAAATCCGACTTGATTTGACAAAGTTATGACCGTTTGTTTTAACTCCTTACCTATGGCATCTGTGGAGATTTTTGCTGCTACGGAGGCCCCAAATACGTCCAGAGCAAGGAAAATGGGAATAGGATAATGTTACGAGCCCAGACCCAGCGCCCGTAGACTCCCCGCGAGGCGCGTGCCGCAAAACCCCGCGCGAAGCGCGGGGTTTTGCACAAGCGCCTCGCCGACGCCCCATAGGTTTAGGTTTTTTGTGTTATAACTTTGTCTAATCTTGTTCAATCACGGTGATTTTGGTGTCATTCGACTCAGCTCGACGAGCTCTTTCGAATGAGGTATAATTTGCATTTTCGAATTTTTCACCCCAAAAAAGTGCTTGGTCCCCCCTATGGATTTTCGATTTTTCGGGACCTATAACTCGGTCCAGAATCATTTCCTGAAATTGGGAGTGGTACCGTTCGACTCAGCTCGCCGAGACGAATCGAATGACATATGTCTCGTCCCGAACTTTTACCTCCGGTGAACTACACTATATCCCTATTATGAATCCGCCTAAATTCCCGGAATACCAGAATATTAATCAGAATTTAGGATTCTGAAAAATATGTGCTGCTTAAGTCATTTTAAAAGGATTTTTTGTAAAACCTTTAATTTACCATAATAATGAAGCAAATTTTTGTTTATTAAAAACTAGTTCTCCTTTATATCTAGTTCTCCTTTAATCAGGTCTTTATCATTTCATTGCCAGAAAGAATATAGCAAATAATTGCTTTAAATATTGGTGAATGGATTAATTAATGGGGAATAAGGGAGTTAAAAAATAAATGAAATAAAATGGATTTATTAAAAAAAATTTGTTGAAGGAGAAGATTGCAAAATTTAATTGTTGCTGTTCAAATTTGAAATTATGTAAATAAATGGCGACAGTTTTTTTACTTTTGTTTTTAATTTTTGCTAATAATCCGTATTTTTAGTTTGTTATAACCCAATATATACATATACATAATTTATATTTAAATATTTTGATCATTTTATTGGGAATAAAATGATTATTTTATACTATAATTATTAAAAGTTTTTCTCTATTGATCATCCACTGTTTTATCTAATTGATCATATCCATTAGCTAGTCTAGGAGGAGGGCAATGGTCACAACCTCCATACAAACCCTAAAGAGCAAATATTTAAAACTCATCTAAATTTTAATTCCAATGCTATTATAAACTAGGAAATTCAGAAAAGTATACTGAAGCGAGTTCAAATATAGATAAAATATTACCGGCGCTCCATCCCTGCCAGGTGATCCTTTCGGCCCATTTCGGCCCGGAAGTCCATTCAATCCATTTGTACCCTTTTCACCAACTGGTCCAGGCGGTCCTTGCCTTCCTGGTTGTCCTTGGGGGCCTGGGGGTCCCGGTTGACCATAAGGCCCTGTCCGTCCTTGAGTTCCCCGTGGTGCTGGCTGTTCTACTAACTTAAATAAAAATTTAAAAAAAATTTGAATTTTTTTCATACATTTCCTGGCAATCCACTAGGCCCTCGTTCTCCAGTAAGACCTGGCAGACCAGGAAGACCAGGCATGCCAATAATCCCTGGTTGGCCTTTATTTCCGGCTTAAATCAACATTTTATATAATCTAAATGTATCTTTCCTACGTGTTCCAGGAGTTCCAGTCCTTCCAACTTCACCATTTGGCCCTTTGGGTCCAGGAGGTCCTTTTGGACCGGTTGGGGCTTGTTGACAGTCAAAACACCTTTAAAATAAATTTATGTATATTTTTCTAGATATAATTTGACCATTCTTGCTCGTTCAAAGGTAATCCTGGAATACCATCTTTTCCGGGAATGCCAGCAGCACCTTCACGGCCATCTGGGCCTGAACCTCCGGGCTACAAATGATTATTGTAATAATATTTTTAATAATATTCTGAGTAACCACGTTTTAACCCAAATTTATTCGTCTGTTAATGTAGTATTAAAATATGAATGTAGGTGCCTTTTATTAACGTGCGTGTTAGTGGGATTGGTCTTGTTTAGAACGAGATACTACATATACAAGGACTCAATGATGTGTTTTTTAACAATAACTTTATCGGTTTAATTTATCTTGCAAATGTTTGTCACCAAACTAAAATTAACAGAAATCTCCAAAAAATTTCTTAACTGTTCCAGGCTGTCCAGGCAAACCAGGTTTTCCTATTCCACATTGACAACATGCCGGAACTATTTCTTCCAATGGAGCTGCTGCTGGGGGTGATGCAAACAATTTTAATGCAAAATTTCCTTTTGTCTTTATTTTATTGTTGTTAATTGTTTGCCGAGGAATTCGTCTTTTTTGTGATAATGGTCCAATAACAAGCTGTTTAATAAGAGAATTTTAATTAATCTCCCTACAAAGTTTTCTTAGTGAAATAGTTAATGTTTATTCATTTATTGTTACCTCGTCTAGCTATGACTCCGAAACAAAAATTTCTCTACCACCGTACTTTTAGACTTCTATGGGGTACCCCAACTATTTGAAACTAAAATAAATTTAAAGAATTTTTAATATTAACCAATTCTGTTTGTATTAATTCTGCCCTAAGCCGTCTGCTTTCTGTTCTGCATATTTTCAAATTGGGTTCTAAAGCTAAATGAATTCGTTGAGTGTAGATATAAATTAAGGGGACTATGAGAATGCTGGCAATTGTTGCTGCTGTTCTGAGAAAATTTTTAAACAAGTTTTATTCTCTAAAGAAATTATTTTGAAATTTCAAAAAAAATTTGTTCCAAAATTTCAATTTAAATCCTACCCAAAGGCCACACTAATAAATGTAATCATCCTTAATTTATCTGCATAGCTTCTTCTATTCTCATAGATTTTTTGATTTTGTTCTGTCATTAGTTTATCTTCTCTATTTTTCATTTGATAAAGGGAAAATTTTAATTTTATTTTAATTAAAAATTATTTAATTGAAAGAAAGCTAGTTTTATTTACGTCTATTTAAGAAATAAAAATAAATAAACAAGCTATTGTTTTTTAATATAAATAGCGTTAACCAACAATAAGGACTTTTTTAATTAAGGGATAAACAGGACAATAACATTGATTAAATAAAAAAATCACCTAAATCTACGCAGGTTAATGATATATTTTTAATTGGTATTAAAAAAATAAAATTATTTTATTTATTAAAATAATTATTAAAGATGATAATTAAAGATTAACGTTTTTAAGTTTACTTAATTAGAAAGCCTCTTTGGCAAGTCATTAATATTGTAATGGATAACAGATCAGTCCGGTCTACTGAAAATGATGGTTCGCTTCCAGCCGCCAAGCAATCTTTTGCACTAGCTGAAGGAGAGAAATGGCTATATTCCAGCTGCTTTACTAAATAAATAAATAATAGAGGTCCAAGTACACTGCCTCTGGGGTGTTAATAAATTTTTTTTATCAACCCTTTTTATTATCAAGAAGAATAATTATTGACATTAATAGTACAATAGTTTATAAAAAAATTTTTTTTAATTCCCTATGGAATAATTAAAAATACATATTTATCAAAATTAGAAATGTTATTGGAGGAATTGGGATAAAGCAACTTATTCCAATAAATTTACCTTATTCATTTAAATAATAATAAAAACCAACTAATTCATGTATAAAAAATATACATAATGTTGAATTTTAAAATACTTACCTATACTAATAAGAATGCTCTTATAATTTAATATTTAAACAAAAGGTGAAAAATAATATTTTTTAATTTAAAATTTATAAAAGTTAAAGCCGACTTACTTAATTAAATACATACATATGTAATGTGTATTTTTATAAAACTAAGAAAATTTTTAGCCTTACATACCTATTGCACTTTTATATAACAAATATATTTTAAAAATTAACATATTTTGATAAGCTAAAAAAGCTTTAAATACAGAAACCTATAAATTCTTTACAAATTTCAATGGACTTGTATTTCTTTCATCATGATGAATACGAGCGTCTTTACAATTGTAGTTTATACAGTGTTGACCAAATCCCTTTAGAAAAACGTCAACATAAAATACTTGGAATTTTCCTGTTCAGTTTATCTACACTATGTGAGGTGAGTAAATAATATTTGGCATGTTCATAAGCGAGCCTTATTTGTGATCTTTAAATCAAAAAAATTTTTATTCAAAAATAATCGTTGAACTAATTAACAGTGAATGTTATTATTATCACAGGATTAATAATAGATCCGGAAATTTAAAATATTAAAAATTATTAATAATTAAAATTAAACAGATACTCTATATTCCTTGTATGTTCTCAATTTGGAAACGTATGGCAAATAGTCATTGTTATAAAATTATGTTTTATATTGGGGTCATTGATATGGCCACAATTTTATGTGTTGGACATATTACTGCCTTTTTTGGCTATTTTGGTTTTGTTTATTGTTCGTCCCCTACTTTCAATTATTTTGCTGGAGCTTATGGACAATGTCTCTGAAAACTTAATTTGTTTTTAAATTTAAATAAAATAATATTCTGTCAAAAATTTTCCCAAACTCCATATCAATTTTGAAATATTTTATTTTCAATAAAAGAAATGCATCCGAACATTTTTTTGGTTTGAAAAATTAAACGAATAGTCTTTAAAACATTAAACAGAGTCTTCAACCTTCTTTGTTTTAATTAACCATTAAATGAACAAAATCTTTAAACTTCGATATTTTTAAATAAATATTTTGTCGTTGATGGTAATAATGAAGTATTTTGTTAATTCAATGTTATCTTCCACAATCACATAAATACCGTATTTTTCCCAATAGAAGCGCACGTCCCATTTGAAGCGCACGTCCCATTTGAAGCGCACGTCCTAATAGAAGCGCAGTCTACGAGGAGGTTGAAAAATACAAGCGCAGGTCCCATTAGAAGCGCACGTCCTATTAGAAGCGCACCCTATGAAATTTTTATTTGAACAATTACCCTGTTACATAGCTACTATTTTAAACAAGTATTTATTATTCATTTACATTTAGATAAAGAATGTACACCCCCCCCCCGCCCCCGAAAACGCAAATCTTATTCTATCGATAAATTTTTCAATCTTCACGTTGTAACCTAAAAATTTAAGGTTTCTGAGTTATAATTGGGGAAAAACTTATTTCCATCTTGACTATGGGATGAACTGGAATCCCCTCGGCAAGGGGATTCCAGTATTGGGTAATCATAGTTCTCGCAACGCTTGCTTATTTGGGTCCACCACCAATGAAATTTTATTTGGGATGGATAGTTGAAGCATGAGATGTAATTTCAAAAGAAAATGTTGCAAAAAGCTTTTGGGGTGTGGAATTGGAATTATGTACAAGTGATGTTCCGAAGATGATGAAATAAATAGTTTTATGCCAGATGGTTAGGCTTTATTACATCAAGCATGAGAGTATAACGAAATTTCAGAATGTCTGGCAGAAATTGATTTTAATGAAATTTATGAAAACGGAATTGAAATTGATAATTCTATAGAGATTTAATATATGTCTTAAATTTCTATTATGTTATAAAAATTAATTCGCATAGGAGTTGAAAAATACAAGCGCACGTCCCATTTGAAGCGCACGTCCCAATAGAAGCGCAGTCTACGAGAAGGTTGAAAAATAGAAGCGCATGCGCTTCTATTGGGAAAAATACGGTAATCCGGACTAAAAGAGGTAAATCCGGAATAAGTGATCTTATAAAATACTTGTTTAGAAAAAAGTTTCTGGAGTCGACGGAGTCGAGTCGAAATTCTTTAGCGTTCGTTAAATTAAAAAATTTTTTTTAATTTCCAGGCTGCTGGATAATTGAATCCATAATGGAATTAGCTTTAGCATTAAACCGTTTCGTTGAACTTTTGTCTTCTGAGTTGGCAGCAAAATTATTTAACGGTAGGAATTTAACGAAAAAGTGTCCGGATCAGGCACTAAAATTCTTAAAGTAGTCGACATTGCCCTGTGACCATGCTTCCTTATAAATTTAATTTATTATAGGCAAAATGATTATCATTTGGTTAGTCGTTTCTATCATTTATGGGTTAACAAATATTTTTTGGACGAAGACAGTTGTATTTAGCGGTATCTATTTCGGTTATTTCTTCAATCCACACGTTGGATATATTGATGGTAATAATGAGGTATTTTGTTAATTTATTTTTATTTTCCGTAATGGTGGATTGTTCATTCTTTTAATTTTTAAAATATAAATTTAGGCATATGATAATATCTTTCATTCAATCCACAATATAAGCATTATGATTTTGTTGATACTCACTTATCTTTCTTTTTCTATCATTTTTATTTTACAATCAAAAGAAGGAGGACTTCAATCTGATCAGCAAAGTTTTTCAGAAAAAAGGGTTTCTATTAACCAAAAAAGTCGGTAAAATCTCATATTCCAGATTTTTCTCCAAGTCGTTATAATCAGCTTGTTTAATGCTGTAGCTGCTTCCATTTATGTTTTTATGCAGTATATTCATGTTAATGAAATGTTGATTATAATTGCCCATATCTTTTGGTTGAATGCACACGGTGAAATTATTATAAATTATTATAAATCACATTATCTGATCTAGAAAATCATTTAACATTCAAAGCCTTTATTGTTGTCCTACACTTAATATTTCATTAAGAATCAAAATCTTCCTAAAATTAGTCTTGAAATTCAAAATTATTTTAAACTTTAACAAAATTTAATTTAAGGGATTCCTCCAGTCATTTACTTAACGTTAAACAATACAATCCAACGTGACTGCTTAAGAATGTTAAAAAATATCTTCAAAAAAACTTCTGTCCATCCATTACAATCCAACACCATTCACCCAACATGAGGCTAATCTAAAGAGGCTAACTAAGTTCATCTTTAAGAAGATACATAAATATAAAGTTTTTGATCTAGTCCATTATTAATTATCTTAATAGACAAAATAATAAGATTTAGCTTCAAAAAGAGATTCAAACTAGATCAACCTATTCTACCATCATATAAAATAAAGTTTTGTTTAAGAACAGATCTTATTTTAAAAAAACGTCACAAATATTCTATGTATACTAAATTAATTCTTGTTAAAATCCTTGTTGCACATTTCTCACTTCTAGAAGTAAAAATCCCGTGACACTGTACACACACCCTCAACAGTTTGGGGAAATTAATTTTAACACAAATTAGAACGTTAAAAGGAAATATTTACTTGTGAAAAGGAAAAATGGACAATAAAATGTAAAGCACTAAAGGGGTACAAAGGATCAAATAGATCAAAACAATCAACAAGATCAAATAGATCCCATCAAAGTTTAAATTAGTCTTAACAAATTAAATTCTTTTAAATTTAATTAATGATTTATTAGAAAGTTTTATATTTGGATTTGTTTTTTCTTCTTCTTTATAGCCTTAAAATTGCCATTTTTTCTTAGAATAAACAATTTTCACTCTTTCTTTAGTTGCTCTTTCCTCATCCAAATAAAATTCGTAACTTCCAAGAGTCAGCAATGGAGTTAATGAGGCAACTAATGCCAGTTCAGGATTATTTTCTAACGATTCACCATTATTTACCGTTATCTGTCCATCTTCATAATCATCTAATTCTGTTTTCAATATCCACATTGAAATGAATTTTCTCAAACTTTTCAATAAATCCTTCTCTAAATCATTCATTTTCTTAAACATTTTGGACACACATCTTTCCTCATTTGCTTTTTTAATTTTAACGTCGAATTGAAGCCAACACTCACAATTTTGTTTCGCTACAATTATAAAATAATTCCCTGGATTTTCAAATTTTACACAAATTTCAATGTGAGAGTATTCCATTTTAGCTTCTTGTTTATTAACCTTTAATGAAGTTGAGTCGATAAAATTCATTCTTTTATGTTTTTCTGTTTTTAAAATTTTTCTAGGCCCACCAGGATTCAAAAACCATATAAATCTTGTTAATTTATTAGGGTTTTCTGGATTTGTCAATAAAGATGTATATATCCCTTGTATTTCTATATCCATAATTTGATTATTATCATCGTATCGCAAATTATCAACTTTCAATTTATTTAATTCAAAACTGATTTGTGCAGAAATTAAAGGCTCTACGGTTATTACCGTCTAAAATGCAAATAAAATTTAAATAATTTTTAAGTATACTTTTACCTTCTCCACAATTTCTGTTCCATTATTTTCATTTAGAACGATCCTTATGTTAAATACTTCTAAAAAATTAAATAATAATTCAAATAACATTAGTTTTTTTCCTTTATGTCCATCAATTACACTTTTATTAAATGAATATTCTCCTATAATTAAATTATGAATGGGTGCATTCATAGTTAAGGTAATTTTATCTTTCTCAATATTTTCATCAATTTCACACAAAATTTCAATTTTACTTTTTATTTTCCCATCTTCAACTATTTTAGTAAATTCCATTCTCAATAAAATTGCTTTAAAGGATCCATCCTCATTTTTATTATCCTCTGTAGAGGTAATCAACAATCGTTGATTAATTTGTAAATTTGAAGAAGAAAGAGTAAACAAAAGGAGAAAATAAATAATTTTATTGTTCATTGAAAATTAAAGTTTTTTTAAAATTTTTAAAATAAATATTTACTTTTGAGCCCTATAATAAATTAATTTTCTTTTATACATGCCCTTTTCTTGACATTAAGAAATTATTTTTCTCATTTGATAGACTGTCCTTTGATTAGATTTTTATTCTATTACCAAATTAATTTGTCTATATTGGGAAATAATGCCCTTTATCTAAGATTTTGTTTAATTTTAATAATATGTACATTTATTAGATAATTCCACTAAACTTTTGACGATCTAACAGTAGGGGCTTAATTCGTTTCTTAGGATGGTATTTGAGGTGATCAAAAAGTCTCAAAACGGAAGATTTTCTAAGGCACAAAAACAGAAAGTAAAATTTCCTCATCAATTACACGTAAATACATTAAAAAATCAAATATTTGAAAAGCATAGGATTTGAATATTACCAAATATTTTTGCACTTTTTGTTTACAAATTATGTAATTTTGGACTCTTCATTAGATCATGCGTCTAATGAACTTTTAAGCGTCCCATGCTTAATTTTATTTCCGTAATTTAAGTATTTTTAACTTATTGTAATTTCAAACTTTTATCTCTTTTTTATCTCATTTCTAAATTCATTCAAATAATCCCCTCATTCAACCTTCAAATTTTTCTCTTTTGATCTTGAATATATGATTTAAAAAATAATATATGTGAATAAAAGCTTCAATTTATTTGTGTTTTGAGTGCAAATTATTGCGATCCTTCTTACAACAAGCCTATAACCCTCAACAGCAAAACTAGATGCAAATGCAGCAGAATCACGGTTGATGTTACTAAAGCTAGAAAAGCAGCAGATCGAGTTAATTCGATATATCAATTGTTAAAGAGAAAGAATAATTTATTATTCTTTGTATAATAACTACTCAATAAAATTTATATCTAACAAGTAAAAATGGATAAAACAAAAAGTGAATATCGGTACAATATCAGATGTACATAATTCCAGTCACAAATTAAATTAATTTCATCAAATAAAAAAGTCGGTAAATTTATGTATACATATTATTTTAAGTTCAATTAATGGTTAATAAAAAGTAATTATTTTTTTAGTTTTTATTTTATTTTTGATAATGACATTATAGTAATTTGTATGTATTGCTGCACATAAAGTAAAATATGTAAAATAATAAATTCTATTAGTTAATTTTTTATTACAAATTTTGTAAATATTAATTTTGTGTTACAGTCAGAGCTGCTTCAAAACAGAAAGATCTTCGAATCTATGGTTAGTCAGAAAGTCAACCTATTTTTATTAGGTATCGAACCTAAAATTAAATTGAAGCCTAAGAATCACAATCATGTATGGTTCAACCACTAAATGCTACCGCTATAATCAGAGAACCCTTATTATAAAATAGATTTTTGGAATGTCTTTAATATAATGCGACTGTTTATTAACTAAGAATTATGTCTAAAAACAAGTTTCATCTTTCTGTTTTTCATTTGTTTGCATCTGTCTCAGATTTTGAACTGAAATAGGGTCAGCACTTTGCCTTCCAGTGTGGTTGCTGTTTGATTTGGGCATGTGCTCACAAAATATCCTAAAAATTAAAAAAAATTTACGATTAATTTTTAATTTTATAAGGTTACTTTTTTGTTATAAATTTAACATTAAACCCAGCAAGTAATCCATTTATTGTCTCTTTTAAGCTTGTATTATTATTGTTACCTCCACTCCTTAAAATTTTCTTAAAAAATTCAAAAATCCTTTAAAAACTTACACATTTTTCTGTTCATTTTGGAATATTCTGTCATTACTTTCAAAAATATTTTTCTTCTCATATTTTGACGCATTTTGAGGCGGGACACTTTCAATGTAAAGAAATAGATGTTCAAGCTTATTTGACTTTAGATTTTTAATGAGTAAATATACAGCAATAATTATTGGAATTATATGAATTGTTATAACAACAGTTAACTAAATTTATTTTAAATTAATTTAAAATTTCTTATTTAAATAAATTAGATTTTATAATGATGGCGTAAGATAGTTTATTATGCTTTAAAGATCCCCCATTAAAAAGTATTCTAGCTTTTAATTTACAATTTATTCACTCTTTCAGCTTTGGAGTGTTCATATGCTGCAACCTAAGATATCCTAATTAGAGCTCAGATCGAGTTGAAGCAACATCGTTAAAATATCTTGATCATTAAATATCGAGATTTAGAGATACCGTTTGTGAAACTGGATTTATCAAGTAACCACAATGTCTACTTTGTAACAGATAAAGTCACCAAATCTTATACTAGTATTATAGGACTCACTAGCGGGTTTAATTTTAAGTTGTGTGTTTTAAAATTTAATTTCATAACAATTAAATACCGAGGATTTGCTCAGTACTGTATCATGAATTTGACCGGAACAGGGTGGTTTCTGGTAAATAATAATAATTTAGAAATAAAAATAAAATAATTTCACCACAATATCATCATCATTAAAAAATTCACATTCAAAATAATCCTCAATAGGGAGACGACCATTTCGATTTAGTTCTAATAACTGATTTAATAGTTTTGCTAATAAGAAGCGAATAGTGTAAATTGATTCTGTAATGCTTGTCTAGAAAATTTGAAAAAATTATAATTAATGAATTTCAATGTTCGAACTAATTTTTTTTGTTTTGAGATAATCCTCACTTTCCTTATATTTATCTTGTGATAAAATGTTATTCTACATATTCTCTGAGTTATTTTGTTAGTTCTATGGAGATCGCATCATTGGACTTAGCAATAACTATGCGGGATACTCTAGAAAATTATAAAGTACATGCAACATTTCTATTGTAAAGGTAAAAGAATTTGCTACTGTTCGAATTTTTATTTTACACATTTACATATATTTTTCATAAAGTAAGGACACATGAAATAGACTTTTGTCTAGTTAAAATCTGTTAGAATTTAAAACTACTTTTTTTTCACTATTAATACTTATTAAGTCGAACCTCGATATACTACCCATAGATTTAACTTATTTAAATTTTTATCGGACCTTCGAGTTCATTATTTCGTGATTCAATTTTATTATTAAACTTTTTAAATATCTCACATGAATTGTTAATGCTTGTGTTATTGAAAGAATTAATGCCAAAGCTGGGCATAGCTTAAAATATAAATAATTTTTTATCATGGAAATAATTTACCAAATAAATATATTGTATTCTTGTTGGAAATCTCCTATTTTTATCTTTAATTATCCAAGCAAACATACACAAATTGATAGCAGGAAAAATAAGTTCTATAACTTCCGCTATAAATAAATTCCAAAGTTGATCATGGTACTGAAAATTTAAGAAAATTTTAATTAAAAATTTATTTAGAACAAGGAGGTTGCACTCCGAACGCTCGGGAGCGGGTGTGTCGGGATACTGGGTTCTCGAATTGTTTCGGGGCGTGGTTCGGGTTAGGGGAGCAAAATATGGTCGGGGGAAATCTGAAAATGTCGGGGGAAAATCACGGGTCGGGGGAAATCTGAAAATGTCGGGGGAAAATCACGGGTCGGGGGAAATCTGAAAATGTCGGGGGAAAATCACGGGTCGGGGGAAATCTGAAAATGTCGGGGGAAAATCACGGGTCGGGGGAAATCTGAAAATGTCGGGGGAAAATCACGGGTCGGGGGAAATCTGAAAATGTCGGGGGAAAATCACGGGTCGGGGGAAATCTGAAAAAATCTTTCGTGAACGGGGGTCGGGGTTCAGGGTAAGGGACCGGGAAGCAACTCTAGCTTAAAGTATATAATACTTTAAACAAACATTATCAATTTGATTTAATCTTTCAGCATTAACCCCATCTAATTTAAATTTGGAAGTTGAATTTGGAAGTGTAATATTCATAGCATCAGTTTCTAACATATATTCATATAATAAATTATTAAGCTGTCCAAAATTATAAGCAAAAGTTGCAAATATTATTGTGTTAGCTATTTGGCAGATAAAAATAGCTGATGACACTAAGGCTGGTAAATGATAACTCCATTGAATTATCTGTAAATTATGAACATTTATTTGAGGAAAGTAATTTAGAAATCAAAAAACTTATGAGGATAATTTTAACAATTTTAATTAAGAGAGAGTTATTAAATATTCTCCCTCTCAAGTATAATTTCCATACCTTTTCATTAACGCGCTGATCTGCAATCTCCCTGAAAGATTTTAGATGATATTCTAATTGTTCACGCCTTTGTGCTGATGTTGCCATTTACTCTTAACTTAAAAGCTTTGTTGATTTTGTTTATAATATTGATATATATTTTACTTATCTTTTAGAAAAAACACTCTAAAATTCATTTCTGTGTGTTCAGTAATTTTTAACTGTCTCTAGCAATTAAAATTTTATATTTTACTCAATTTATTGAAAAACGGGACGATTATTTTAAAAAAGAATAAAATAGAAAATAAAGTAATCCTAATCTCCCTACCTAATCTAAAAATTGACAAAAAATATACAAACAATTCTTCCCTAGCAAACAAAGCACCTGTCTTTTTAAAAGAAAAATTGAAGAGATATGCGCACAATGATGAATCAAAAAATAGTTGAATAGGGTGTCTGGGCGCGATAAATAGAGGGATTTAAATGAAAATGACTAAGATAAATGATAATAATATTAACAGATATTTGAGAATTATTTGGCAGAATATGACAGTCTTTTTTTTTTAATTTAATTTCGGCACATCCCTAGATAATCTTTGAAATTTTATGATTAAAAAATTACAATTTTTTATTTAGTTTTATAAAATCACTCTATATTTTTGAGGGTTATAAGAGCGCGCGCCCTAAAGAACTGCGCCTAGAATCCATTTAAAAAAGAAAAATAAATAGAAATAAATTTAGAGTGCGCAATAATAATAGTTAAGGATTTTTGATAAAAGAATTATTTTTGTATTTGTTCTTAATTTTAGAGAAATTGAAAAAATGATTGGATGGAAGAATTATTACTTATTTTGTTAACAAATCAATAGATTAATAAATATAAATATATAATCTAGATAAAGATAAGAAATTTTATAAAATTGAAATTGTATAAATAAAAACCTTAAAAATAAATAAATTAATAAATTAATAAAAATTAAATAAATGAGAAAAAATTTTTTATTTTATTTTGCCAGCATTTACACAATTAGATCCCTGAGTTGACGAGTTTGTAAATTATATTAACTTCGTAAATGGATCTCCATAGGGAATATGAAGGTGCCAAGTGCAATGCTACTAAATCCAAATTAATTCGGTAAATTTCAAAATTTAATGATTAAAAAAATTTTTTATACTAAAATATTTTGAAGTTATAATAATATACTACATATTTTATCAATATAAACTTCAGACATGACGTCATATTTGCACTTGAGAATAAAAAATCTGTCCTCTAGTGGCCATATAAACTACAGATATAAAATAAAAGCAAAATGAAATTCTGGAAGTTTTAAACAAACTTAATAATTAGGGACCGGATTTTTATTGAAATAAATTAGCAAAATATGACCATAAAATAGTGACAAAAAATGCCGAATAAGCTAAATATTGAAATAAATTATCGTTTATTCACTAGTAAAATCCAAAAAAAAGTTGAAATTTAACAAATAAATTTAATCACATTTTTAAATTGCACATTAGCTTTATACTTCGACGATTGAGTATACTTTTCCTCTCAAGGACATTTTGTAATGTTACATTTCATTGGATCAAAGCTGCAAAAAAATTTCCGTTTCGTTTGAAATTACATGTGATTTGAAGGGATATAGGAGATTTAGGGAGGATATCAGTGAAGTTACAGGGATATCCGGTAATTAAGAGCGATATCAAGGAATTCGGGAGATATAAGGGGAACTGATAAGATATGAGAGGTTTGTGAATTACATTTATGACCTACATTTCGTTTCAGCTTTTCGGTTTTGTTTCGGATATCCAAAGTTCTAAGCAACATATTTTCGGTTCTAAACCTTCCATTATTTCGGTTATATGTACCACAAACATTGCACAAATATTGTTCTTTTAGGTATTTATACCATTGAAATGGTTGTGTAGCACCACAATTGAAACAACTTCGCTTGTTTTCTTCAATAATTTCACCTATAATTTTAAAAATAAAGGATTGAGAAATAAAAGTGTTAATTATGATTAATTAAAATATAATCTAAATTTGCTATGAGAAATCAAATATAGCCAACACCCCTTAAAATACCCCCCCCCCCCAATTTTAAATATTAGAAAAATAAATGCATCTCAATTTAATTAAAATATTTAACTCCTTAAACATTCAGAAAACAAAAGTAAAAAAACTTTTTACTTATTTTATTGCCAATGTAAAGAATTCTGCTTTTTTCTTTCAAATATTCAACTTTTTGTTTTTCTAACAATTCAATTTTATATCCAATTAAATTAATTTCCGTCCAATAACTTGACAAAAGTTTCTTTTTATAATTTTCAATGTTTTCTAGTAACATTTCTTTTTTATTTATTTTAATATTTCCCAAACTTTCATCCAATATGGATGTTTCATAATAACTTTTGTTTTTAATAAAATTATTATTTATCAGTGCCTAAAATTTATAATCAAATGGATATGCAGTTATAATAGTTAAAATTAAAGTTCAGAAGTTTTTCGGATTTTTAAATTTTTTTCTATCCGGACCGTATTTTTCGGGTAAAATCCGAAAATCCGGTTTTAATCAAAATAATCAGAATCCTGACTACCGGATCGGAAAATCCGGATCTGTGTTCTAATCTAAAAATAATACACCTGTTTTCCCAATTCAGATAAAACTTTTTTAATATTTCCATTATTGCCGATTTCAATTAAAATTCTCATTTTTAATTGAGAGGTATATTTTGTACAACTATATAGTATAGTATTAAACACATTTTTAACAGGATGAATTTCAAGTTTACGAAACGATCCAGTTTTCTTATAGAGATAATTTTCAATTTTATATCCTTGTTTAACATTCATTATCATTACAAAACGCTCCTTTATTTCAACATTTTTTAAATAAATAAATTCTCTTTTTTCTTCCCAATCATCCTTGATTTTCAATTCAATTTTAACTAATTTTCCTTCATTTTGAATATTCAATAAAATAAACAAATATAAAATAATAAATTTAATCATCTTAAATTTTAATATATTAAATATTCATTTACTTTAAAAGCAAATGGCAGCATAGCATAGGAAATTAGAATTCAAGTTTTTGAGTCCTTCCAACCACTTGCCACGGATTTGCTATCCATATCCGGATATATCCGTGGAGTCAATATTCGTATCCATTTATGTATATCCTTGTAACTTTTAAGTCATATCCATTTGCGGGTATTACTTTAAAATATTAGGGCACTGGAAAATAAGAGGCGAAACTTCATTAGAAGTATCAAAAACGGATCCGCTAGATTTTTTGAGTTGAATATGCATTAGGTTTTTAAAATTAAGACAAAAAATTATAATTATTTAATTATTAGTTATACCCCTATAAATAATATATCTCTTTAAATGCTATAGATATAGAGGACTATGAGTAAAAAATTTTATTAGCTAATTATATTTACTGTGAATTGACAAAAAGTGCAAATTTTTAAAGTCATATGAATCGGAATAAATATGAAATAAGGCGGTAAATTATGAAATTTCTTTAATATTTTATCAAAGAAAAATATTAAAGTGCAAAATAATTTTGAAAAATATGTTTTTTAAATATTTTTATATTAATATTTTAATAAAAATTTTGTAATTTTTTATAAATCAGGATCTATTTTGATGCTAAATATAAAAAATCATTTATAATTTCTTCAAGAAAGATATTTCGAAACATTTTCGGTCTGAAACAAAGAACCAAAAATTCTGACATTTCAGAAACGTTATTAGAAAATCTATTAAGGATGCCCGTGCGATATTTCAGAAACAATCAAAAGAATAGCCATTCTTCACCGTACAATCAAACACTTAAAGGCCCGAAGCTTAAATTTGACGATGTATGGAACATTTTGACTGAGGTTTTGGGCATTTGCCACGGCAACTGGTGCAAAAATTCGGAGAAAATTCGAATTAATGCAAATATTTTGACACGAAAAGTCAGCTTTCACTAAAGAAATTTAGAAATGTACTTAATATGTAAATGAGGAACAAATAATATCCGGATTAAACGTGCTTTTTGAATGTGTTTTGGATTTTTTCAAAAAAATTTCTGAATTTCTTTAAATTTAACATTTTAAATTAACTACCCACCGAAACAAATTCAAAACATTTTTTTGCCATTACTCAAAATTCTTTTCATTTTCAATTTTTACGTCATTTTTAAAAATAATAGGCAAAAACGTGCTTCCCTTTAAGACGAAAGAGCAGGCTTCTTCAATATTCTCATAAAGACAGGAAAGAATAAATAAAAAGAAGAGAACCCCTAGAGGGTTAGAGAGGATATTTTGAGGAGTATTCCCCTCATTATTCAAACATCGCAACGGCAATTCCTTGGCCTCTAACTAAGAAAAAATTTTTGTGCCATTCCTCACAGCTCTTTTCATTTCTCTGTTTAACATTAAATAGAAAATTTTTTCTTTTCATTTAAGGGCAATTCTTTCGAGGCTTTCAATTTTCCTTTAGTTTGTCATTAAAATATGTAAAATAAAAAAATGCAAAATGAAATAGTAAATGGAATAAATTATTGGCAAATATTCTGTTAATTTAAAGCTTTTTGTTGAGTAAAACGGAAATGTACTCACATTCTTATTAAATTTCCTAGAAAAATCGGGGAATTTTAAAGAGCATGATAGGCCACCGATCTTTAGACATTTAATTCAACAATTTCAGAATTTTTTAAAAATTTGATCAATTTTTATTCGAGTCAAAGCTTCAGAAAATTTTGGAATTTTTGGAAGATTTAGAATAATTTATGTAAAATTTCCTAGCTATAACATTTCTCTTGAAAATCCTTATTCTCTCAACACGCCTCACGAAGAAAAGGACAACGAAGAAAAGGACAAACTTCTTCAATATTCTCATAAAGACAGGAAAGAATAAATGAAAAGAAGAGAACCCCTAGAGGGTTAGAGAGTGAGGAATATTCTCTCCTCATTATTCAACCATTGGAACGGCACTTTTTTTTGGTCTTAGCAAACAAAAAATTTTGTGAGCATTTCTTTTCATTTATATTTTTCTATGCTACATAAAAATAAAGAAAATGTGCAAAATAAAATAAATTATTGGCAAATTTTTT